CACCAACCGTAGCCTATCTCGCACACATTGAATTTTTTCGCTGCCCGCCAGCCAGGCTGCCTGGCTGCCAGACTGCCATGGCCTGCGCCAGATATGCAATATGCCCCGTGTTTTGGCCAGCACCTGGCTGCCTGGCGCGGCGGCGCTGCGGCCCGGAAGGCTGTCGCTCTGTCTCTCTCGCACCCGTGCGGAACGCGTCACGAATGTGAGAGGAACGGAGCGACGAAAGCGCACCCTTCGGAGTCAGCCTGCTCGGCTCGGCTGGGCAAGTCCACCCACGTACTGAGATTGGACAGGCTAAGCCCCCCCCCCCCCTTTTTACACACACAACGTTCGCCCCACTCACACCACGCCGTGTAAAGACGCAGTGACGGCAGTAGCGCCCTGTTCAATTGAGCGTCACGGCCATAAACACCAGCACTTTTTCTCGGCCCCCAGCCACTAGAGGGCGGTGGCGGCCACTTTTTTTAATCCCCCGCTGCCCCTACACTGGCGTGGGCGCTGGCGCGTAACGTTGTGAAAAATGAAGCTAGCGTTATCTGGGTGGCGCGTGTCCGCGTGGCGCGGCGTGTCCATGGCGTGTCCGCGAAAAGTGCCTCCCCCTTCCCCTTCCCCCTCCCCGGCCGGAGTCCACTCAGTTAGCGCTGGCGCGCTTCTCACGGCGGGCCCAAGTATCGGGGCAACAACTCGGGGGAAAAACAGACGGCAACTTTCGCACTTCTCCCCTCGATCCCCGATCCAGCCGGCGGGCTCTGCGTGCGTTCACTCCAAATCTATTGGCGGTACACATGGTGTTGCGAAGGTGATGAAATCTGTACCACCTTTCTTTTGGTGGATCTTTACCGCATTGGTGGTAAAATCTGGACGCTGCCAAGACACAAATACCACCAGCAAGGGCGGGAATACTACCGCCGTTCGATTTAGAGTGTCGCCCGGCGCGGAACTCTGAGGGAAGGAAGAGGACCGAGGAAGTTCGCCGCCCTTTTTCTTCGCGGCCACTCCCGGCTGGCCAACAGATGCCGCCCGGGAGCGGTCCGGCAGCCAGAGCCAGCCAGGCAGCCAGGCGGCCAGGCGGCCAGCCGCTCGGCAAGAAGTGGAAAACAGAAAACTCAACTCGAACAAGAAGGGGTTTCGGGAAGTGTCGTCCCGGACGGGGCGGGGTGGCACGATCTCCCCAGGGCTGCATGGCGCTTCCCGCCGCCATCTTCTTAAATCAAGTGCTGACGCTAAATTTGGAAAAGTGAAAATAAAATTGCAGTGTCGGGCTGCTGCGGGTGGCAGCCGCGCACCTGGTGAAACCTACTCAGCCGTTCCAGCGCCCTGGGGCCGTGCTGGAGCCGTGCTGGGGCTGGGGCCGAGGCGGAGGGCGTGTTATGGATATGACTTGCGAAGGGCAAGAACCCGAAACGCGCGCCAGAGCCGCAGAGCGGCAGAGCGGCTAGCGACATCGCAGGGAGGGAAAAGGTGGTGGGGGTGCCGGAGGTGGCGCGAGTGGGCGTGCTCCGAAAAGGAGAGCCAGTTACAACCGCAGCCTGAGCATAAGTTAGTGGCGCGGTGCTGCGCGCGACACTGTCGTGATTCATCCCGGCGCCCTTCCCCCCACCAGTGGCGCGGAAGACCTGCCCAGTGCTTGGGCGGACACAAATCAGAGCACGGCTGGAGCCCTCAAGCCCTCAAACATGGCTTAATTTGACAGAGGTGACTTAGCCCAGCCTGTATTTGAACTGACCTTAGGCCTCCAAAGCGATGTGACTGTACGTAAGTGTTTTCAAACAGTAACAGTAAATTTCTGACGTCAAAGAATCGAGTAACTCTCCCCTCTCCTCCCTGCCCTGCCCGACTCTGGCAGCGCCGCTGCGGCAGTTCAAGGGACAGAGCGCTAAAGCGCCGGGGAGGTGGGCTCCACTTGGACGCGGCTGTTTGGCGGGCCGGCCTATCCTCCCTTCGTTAGGGGCCCCGCCGCCTTGGCCGCCGCCTCGAGCTCGGACCCGAGGCTAGAGGCTAGAGGCTGCTAGAGCGGAAGAAAGGAGGTCATTCCAAGAGGCACAGCTGGCCGGGCCACGTCAACGCAACAGTGCAAAAATGGTCCGACTGTCTGTATGGTTTATGCGATCGGCCGACCGGCCGTCTGCACGACCACCACACCATCCATGCACGAAAAATGAAGGCAATGCAGCAGCAAGGGGAGAGCCAATTATCTATGCAGTCGCGGTGCAGAATGCAGACTGTATCGCGATACGGGCGGCATCCCCATCGATCACACATACACACACACGCGCGCGCGCGCGCGCTACGAAGTGGCGCATCACTGCCCCAATGTGTGTCCGTGAAAGCAGGCGCGTTGGGGTGGCCACCACCACAATGGCGCTCCACATAATTTGCCCCACCGTTGTCGGAGCCTGTTTTGGAAATCGCGGTGAGATGCTGCCTGGGACATTTATAAAGAAACCATCTCCTCTCGTTCGCTCCGGGGGACAACGGGGAACAGTCGGCAGGCCGGCCAGCCGCAGTTCCTCCAGTACACGGAGTACACTGTAGTGCGGCGGCCCCGCGCGTCAAGCGGGCATGCGAATTAGCATGTGGCCGGGTAGCGTGGCGGCGTGGCGGAGTGGCGGGCCTCTAGCCACGGCCCGTGGCTCATGGCTCATGGTCCGGACGGGGCCCTCGCGGGGTCCATCGGTTTGACCACGGCGGCTGTCCCCTGCTTCCCTGGTTCCTCGGTTCCTTGGTTCCTTGTCGTGGGCCTAGGGGGTGGGGTGGGGTGGCCGGTGGGGCGGGGTGGGGTGGGGAGGACATGGGGTGGAAGAAGGGCGCGCGAGGAGATGAGGAGGGGGAGGGGGTGGTGGAGGGAGTCTCGAATCAATACGAGAGCTACACCAGTGACCCCCTTGCCGCTGCCGCCGCTGCCGCCGCGGTGGCAGGGGGGTTGGGAGGGAGAGGGAGGCGGCTTCGCTGCTTCGCTCCGTCCCAAGCCACGCCATGCACGCCATGAAGCTGACAGGCCACGGCAGGCTCTGCCATGCTGCAGCCGCTGTCTCTCTCTCCCTTCATTTTTTGACGCTTGTCCGTCCTCGTGCCTTGTGTCCCCATGGCCTGTCCCCATGGCGTGTCCCCATGGCGCGGCCCCATGGCGCGGGGGCAACAAGCCGACGGCACCCCCGCCTGACACGGCGGCCTGGCACGGCCTCACACATTCTCATGACTTGTTGGTGACCCGCGGGGCATGCCCGGGGCACCTTGGCATCTCGCGGGGCCCACACGCCTCCCCCACACACCGCCCTCGCACTCCGCCCCCGCACACCGCCCCCGGGCGCCGCCACCGGGCGAGCCTCCCGCGTGGGCCGACGAGGTAGCCGCCGTACTACTCACTCACTGAATCCCGCACTCACCACTGGTTCGAGTCCACAGCCGAGTCGCAGCGGGTAATCCACAGTGCGCGTCCCATGAGCCGCGCTGCTGGCGTGCCCGTCGTGTTCAAGTTGACAGTTTACAGTTCACAGTTCACAGTCCTCCCTCATGGTGCGCTGTCCCTGCCTGTCCCTGCCGCGCGCGCCCCGTCCTCGTTCTCGTTCCCCGCGTGTCCGTGCGGCCCGCGCGGCCCGTGCCCCGGCTTGCCAAGGCTTGCCAAGGCTTGCGCGGGAGACTTGTCGCCTCCACTTGGCGCCTCGCCTCGCGCCCTCGCGCCTTGCCCTCGCGTCCGTGCCGTTCGTGCTGACCGTGCTGGCCTGGCTGGCCTCGCCTGCGCTGCGGGTCGCGGGTCGCGGGTCGCGTGTGGGCAGGCTGCCGCTAGCTGCCGCGGGCGGGCACAGCGCACAGCACAGCGCAGGGGCAAGCCGATGCCGCTACTGGCGCCCCGCGCTCGGCCCACGCTCGGCCCATGCTCGGGCTCGCTTCGGCCCCGTTCGGCTCGACAGCCCCCTCGGCCCTTCGGCTCGGCAGCGCGGCAGCGCTCGTGGAGTTCGTAGAGCCTCGGAGCTCGGCTCCGAGTAAGGGGTGTGTGGGCGTGAGGGTAGTGGGGATCCCTTCCTGGTCCCTCATCGCCTTGATCCCGGCACCCCTTCCCTGGCTTTCCCGCTCGCAGCATTGCATATAGTATCTACCTGGCCTGTCTTGGCGATCGGGCAGTGCCCAGCACGGCCCAGCAGTGCCACGGGGCGACGGTGCCTCGGTACCGTACCGCCGCCAGGCTGCGCCCGCTGCGCCAGGGACAGGCCAGCCCGCGCCACAGCCTAGAGCCCGCGCGCCCCGCACCCCTGCCGCTATTGACCAAGGAGTGAGGAGGAGGAACCGGGGGATGGGACGGGGAGCGTGGCGGAGGCTGTGCCGACCTCGTCCTCGTCGCTCCCCGGCCTCGGCTCGGCACGCCGCGGAGCGAGAGAGAGGCCCGAGGCCGCCGCGCCGAGGCCAAGGGGGAGTGCGCACCCCGCGCCCTGCCCTAGCCGCGCCCAGCGCCCTCCACTCTGCGGCCTGGCCTCGGACACGTGGCTGCACGTGCCGCACACGTGCCGCGGGCAGCGGGCAGGCAGGTGTGTCCAGGGTGTGTCGCGGTGCCGGGGCGGACCGAAGGGGGCATCAACGGCGCTAAGTGCGGCATCAAATGCGGAGGGGGCAGGGGGAGGGGGGACGAGGCGCCATGTCAATGGGCGAGTACTACAGCATCGAGAGAGGGGGGAGGGCCTCGTTTGCTCAGCGCACCCACCCCACGTGTCTCACGAGGTGGGGAGATGCATACACTGGGTGCCATTGTGCTTTACCTCAACCCCTCTTTTCACTCGGAGAAACGGTTTTCTTTTTGTTTATTTTGGAGAAGAGAGCTCTCTGCGGACTTTGGAGTTGGCCTGTCCGTCCTACCACTGGAAAAATAACATTCCAGGCAGTGACAGGGGAACGAGAATGCATCACGTTCACAGTCCTCTCTCATGGTGTGCTCGCCCTGCGCGAGAGTAGGCAATTGGTATGGAATGCAACAAATTGAAAGGGAGAAAATAAAACAAAATGCATGAGTATTACATAGTGCATATATTCTGGTAAATAAACTGTACACATCTTGAATCTTTTTAACACCGGAAGTAAATGAGTCTTACGTGTCTGTCTGTTTAAACATATGTGCTGTATGCCACTTTGCATGCAAAAGATTCAAAGGTAACAAGCAACACATAGTAGAATTTATTCTGATACATAGCTAAAAGCATAACAAATATAACACTATGGTATTCTATTAAATGCCCAAAACAGATATAACTAGTTATTATTAATGTGAGGAGGGAGACTTAGGATCATTTTGCTCCATAACTGGTATCTCATGGGCAGAGATGCCAAATCCACACATTCAGCAAATATCAGAAGGGCTAAAGCAGAATGTAATACCTGAATGTAAAATTTACAATGAAATGAGGGACACATGGTAACTTACTGCATACCTCTGAAATAATGTACGTTTCAGACACGTGCTATTATTCAGACAAAACCAATCCAATATATAAATGAGTTTCCCCTGACATTCATCTCCCATGCGTGACCCTTACAGAAAATAGCCTGATGTACAAAAAAAAAAAAAAATTAAAAAAAGTTCATCACACCACGTTAGAAATATCGAAGCTCATGCTAAAACAAATAACTAAAGTAGAGATATGTCTCAATGCACCATAAAGGAATCTTTCTAATAAAGTTTGATTTCATACAAGTAGATTTAAACAGGTAAAAGTTGATCAACAAATTGAGATATAAAAACACACCATATACACAATCATATTGCATTCCAATGACAACTGAATGCTAAACACATGTCAGAGTCAGTAAAATGGCAAAATGAATCCCTGAATTCAGAAACAGAAATAGAACCTTTAAAATATAAACAACAGAAGAAAGTAAGGCAGAGAGAGATACAAGATTTCATTAATATTAATTAAAACACCATACCAAATAGATTATACCACTCTTGCTCAGCACATTTGGTATAGAAAATTAGTTCTATTTATCATTCAAACATAAAATCAAGGAAAGCTTGTCTCTAAGTGGTTGCAATGCCTTAGAAAATTAAAGTTTCAATGTTGACATACAAAGAGGAAAAGAAGAGATACCTAAATCACAGTTAAATTTTAACTTTCAAAAAAGCATAATAGTTAACTAATTATATTCATTGGAGCACTACACCAATCACACATAGGCAATGTGGATAATGATAACGTTTCTAGTAGGGAAAGTGTTTACAGCCATGCAAAGTTTCTAGGTCCCCCCCCAAATCCAAGACTTAACTACTTCATCCTTGATCCCAAATTCATACGGTACATATAAATGTCACAAAGTTTCAACAAAAGAAAATCATATTAAACACTAAGCAGTGCCAGAATTGGTACCATTTGCAGCGGCTTCTTCAAAAACCTGAGTTTACTTGCATACAGCCTAATGTGATACACAACTCCCATTAAAGAATCTGTATCAGAGCACCTGCACCTACAAACAACTACACCAAGCCACAGGCACTCCGCTATTTAAGATTATGGCCACATGTAACAGCTCTGAGAACAAGGTTTAGCACTCATATTACAGCAGACAACTCTCACACAAGGACTGAACAGGTAACCTACACAAGACACTAATTAGTTAAACAAATCAATTTAACATGAAAATCATTACTGCCAACAATCTTATTTTATACAAATACAAGGTTTAAAAATGAAAGCTAAGGGAATGAAACACTTTGGCATTTTCATTTGGACATGAAAGGAGGTACATTAAATGATTTCACAAATTTTTTGTTCATGGCATACAGCTTGTATATATGGCTGCCATGAGTTTGAAAAAGTAGTCTGCCTCCTGTTTCTTACTTGCTGTTGCATTTTGTTTTATTAAATACTGTCAGACACCTAATAGGTTAAGCTACTAGGTTATGAAACGCTGGAAACATAAGGAAAGCCACTTTTAAGCTAAATGTCAAACACACCAGCTCTGAGGTGGTGCTTCAGCCTAAAATGCAATAAGAACATTACCGCAAAAACAAAACAAAGAGGGTCTAAAATTGAAGACAAAATATAACTGAGAATATACAATAACAAGACTGAGTCTCATGGCTAACAGAAGAGACATATTATCATACAACAGTATTTTATTGTTTCCTCGCTCTGCACCTCTCAGAAATAATATTGGGAGTTGAAATGAAATCTTTGATTCAAGGCAAGTAAAATGTTGAAGGCAATCTACCTCAAAAGCACAACAATTGGAATGCTGTGCATCTACCAAACTACCCATGAGCCTGTCATAAAAAAATAAATCTCAGAATAATTTTTTTTTTTACAATGTAGGTATGTCAATTATTGTTCACAATAAATAGCACTTTTAATTTTACATCAAAAAGAGGGGGGAGGGACTAGCTTTTCACCATTTGCTCAACTTGTGTTCCTAAGAGTTGCATGACTTATTTAACAAATAGATCAGGACATAAGGAAACAAACATTACGATGAATCAAAGAAGTGGTAGTGACATTATTATCAACAGCATGAAGCCGTATCACAAGCAGAAATGCTTTGAGGTTGAATAACTGAATTTGAAGGCTAATTGGTGATCAGAATGTAGCACAGCACTGAATCAGTACTCTACATCACTAAAACACAAATTTGTCTAGCAATGAATTCAGATGCCTGCTTAAAGGGATGTAGCAAAAGCATGAGGAAATATTACTTCTACAAACAGATGCCGGCACTCTCAACTCCTTTCTCATAGTTTGAAGAGGATGGAGTGCCAGGCATGGCAACATACAAAAATATTTTTGCAAGTGAAAAACTCAGTCAAGCAACCAAATGGCATAATAGCCATGCTTCACCATTGAACAGCTTCATATTTGTATCACAAATAGCCCAAATGGCTCCTATTCAAATTCATAATAACAACAGTGCAGACACTCTGTTAAAGACTATTAAGTCCGTTCCCTTATTTTCTATAGTGCCTCACAGTAGTGTCACCTCATTGACATTCCTATTAACCTAAGAAAGGAAATGTTGCATTGAGCTCAATGCAAAAAGGTCAAAGAGATGTATACACTTACACAAGTAAAGCCAATCTAACATGAGCAGCTGTCTTTGCTGGCAGTTTGATCGTTGACAAGAGTATTGCGCCCACCAGGTTGCGAAGGTTTATGTTGGACTCCAGATTCAGCTGCATTTAGGTCCAATCTACAAAAGAGAAGAAACAATTGAAAATATACTGGCTGATGTTCAGGGAGATCAGCATTAAAGAAAAGATGGCCACATACCGCCCATCTTGAATGCTCTGATATATCTTCTTTGCAGTCTCCAGAAATGCTTCTTCTACATTCTCACCACTGGAAAAAACAAAACAACAGTTAGAATTATTAATGATACAAGAGACGCCATAATTTTAAATGTTGCAGAAAATTTACATCCAAATGTTACCTTTTAGCACTAGCCTCTACAAACATGAGACCATTTTCATCAGCAAATTGTTTGGCCTCTTCATAAGTGACGTCTCTTGCTGCATTCAGATCACACTTGTTTCCGATCAGGAATATCACCTGATCAAAAAACATACATTAGAAATCAGAAAGTTATGGTTGACATGGGTGGAAAGTGTTTAGTTTACATACAGTGCTGGGGTTGGTAAGATTCCTTGTATCAGTCAACCAACTACTAAGATGATTGTAGGTGGAGCGACGAGTGATGTCGTATACCATCAAGGCTCCAGCTGCACCCCGATAGTATGATCTAAAATCATGAAACAAATAAATGTGATAATTTGACAGAAAATTAAATTTATGACCCAGATTGCCTCCTCTCAAATTAGAACAAACCTGGTAACAGCTCGGAAACGTTCCTGCCCAGCTGTGTCCCAGATTTGTAGTTTGATCTTCTGTCCTGATACTTCAATGATACGAGTGCCAAACTCAACACCTATGGTGTGAGGACAGTCTGACATAACTGCAATACAAGAGAAAAAACAAATAAATAAATTTACAAAATGATCAAAATAGGAAATACAATAAAGTTGAAAGATAATTTAAGATAAGATATCAATCAAAATGTGCTGTACTTACATTTTTTTTCTGTAAATTGGTGGAGAAGGCATGATTTGCCGACACCCATGTCCCCAATGATAATATACTTAAAGATGTAGGAGTAATTGTATGGCCCGACAGACATGATGGCTAGAAGCAAATAATCAAAAGATAAAATTAGATGACTACACAACAATTGAAAAATCATGACAAAGGAATGAAAAAAGAACAAAAGAATCCATTGGACAAATACGCCATTAAAAGACAGTGACACAGAAATCAGACACAGATACTCAAAGTAATATAATAAGTAATCCATAGTACGAAATAATTTTTTTATCGCAAACCCTCATCAAAAAGTTTATTAACTAGTCACTTCGTGTGGACCTCAGATCTGACTAGAAACAAAACAATAATGCAGACCCATAACTGTAGAAGACCAATCACTTAGACTAGCGCTAAACATTCTTAAAGTACTGAAGTGCGTGTAGCAGGAACAAATATAGTTGGAAATTATTCTTGTACCTGGCCCTGGCCCCCAGGTGCCCCTAGGCTGACATGGCATAGCCTCAACCTAACCATGGTGTGACGCCCACTGACCCTTTGACACTTCCCGTTACGCTACAAGCTACAAGCGGTTAACGAGAAGGAGACACGAGGTGATTCTAATTTCACGAAACCAACGACGAAAGAAAACCTCTGAGAAACAGATGGGCATAAGTGCAAAATCAAGACAAATGACTGAAATCAAAACAATCGCCTGCTTACCTAGATCTAGGGTTTTCTGACTTGTCGAAAAAGTGAGACTGGGCTTGAAACTCAAAATCCAACTTAACGCTGTTAAGGGTCGACCTGGCTTCCAAACGTCAGTTTGAAATTAAAAGGCTGCCAAGATGTCAAAATATGGAAGTCGGCCAAAGCCAAAGCCCATCTGCACTTTCAGCTACGACACTACGTTAATCGATGATGTAAACGAAACACTGAGTGTTACTAATGACAGAGTATTGCGTTGTGATCACAGCATAACTAAGAGTGAAAGCAAAGAAAGGAAAGGGGAATGGGGAAGCTAGCTAACGATGCTAGCGAATCCGATGTACACAACCAAGCAAATGACTCAGAGAGGACCATCTACCCTCGTCGCTGTCAGGCAGAGAGAGGTTCGACACTTGATTTGCTTGGTTCGATTGTTCAATCATGGTTCAATCTCTGCCTAGCGTCCGCCCCCTCCCCACAGGACACTTAACCTAACTCAACATCATCATCATCAAATCAACAATCAACAAACATCACTTTGGAGCTTTACTGACAGCTCTGCACCATGCGCATTAACAGGTTAAAACGTCTTCAGAAGAATTTGTCCTTTTATGTCAATAACTTTGGGCTTAAAAAGCCGTTCCATGTATTGTTGGACGGGACAGTGTGTTTTGTTGCCCTCAAGGTAAGTTGGTTTTTTAACCTATAGACTCATGCTGAGTTTGAAAACGACACACGAAAAATGAACTTCTTTAGACACTTTTCCATTTTCAATGACAGGACAAGTTAGATGTTCAGCAGCAAATTAAAACATATCTAGGTGACGATGTCAAAATGTTTACAACACCTTGTGTTGTTATAGAAACAGAGAAACTTGGTGAGAATACTCATTTTGATTAATAATTATTTTTGGCAATGACCATTACTTGATAAGAACCAATTATTTCTAGGAAAATCGGTGTTTGGTGCTATGTTGATTGTCAAGAAATTCCCCATTCGCTACTGTGAGCACAAAGATAACCCAGTGTCAGGAAGTGAATGTTTACTCTCCATGGTGGGCTCTTCCACCTCAAATAGGTATGTTGATTTTTCAATGCCTCATCACAAGTTCATGTAACTTCTTTATTCATTTCACAAAATTATACCAATGAAACACATTAATTCAAATTTTTGTTCAGGTACATAATAGCAACACAAGACAGGGATCTGCAAGATAAATTGAGACTTATCCCAGGAGTACCTTTATTTTATTTCTTTAATAAGGGACCGACACTTGAGGCACCCTCCAAAGTTAGTGAGAAGGCTGCTGCAGCAACTGCAAATGCTCGGCAAGTATCATTATGGAAAAAAGGAGTCCTACGTCCTTATGAAAGAAACATTCTATTATCATTGTTTCTTCTCTAGGTGGGGTATCAATCAATATGAGCAAGAAGCGTTATCAAAACTTAAGGAAGTAGAAGGTCTCAAGTCAGAAGATATTCCTGCCAAGAAAAAGAAAAAGAAGACAAAGAATCCTAATCCTTTGTCCTGTAAAAGGAAAAAGAAAAAAACTGAAGCTGGCGCAGACACACCTAAAAAAAGTGATGCAGGAGTAAAGAAAAAGAGAAATAGGAGAGGTAAGAAATTGCCTCAACATGTGAAAGAGGAGCTATTGCGGATCAAGTCTGCTACACAAAATAGTGTTTAGAATGAGTTAATGCTGTTGTTAATAAGATAAATTAATTTCTTCAAATCTTCCCATCTATTTTTCTAACTGATTCCTCCTTTATTTCGAATTCATGTAAATGATTTTGCACAACATGCTTTTAACTTGAACTACAGTAGACTATGTTCTAATGCCTTTTGAAGTTGCATTGTATTTTAACATGCAAGCAAGTATTAGTGTTACAGTCCATTGCACAAACATCAGCAAAAATTCTTAGTGTTCTTTTGTTCAGGCTTAAAACTATTAACAGACAAACCAGTGTGAAAAAGTAAAACAAAATTTAGTTTTGAAGGAAATGGGAGCTCCTCCCAGAATGACAAGATTTAAATTACCCATTTCAATGCTAAAACAATGAAGTCAATACAGATATGATATTCAAAATTTAAAACATCAAGCAAGGGAGAACTTAAAATACTTTTTAACAGCAAAAGCTGCAAGTTTCCTTGAACAGAAAAGGTCATTGTCACCATTTATGGTGGTGCCTGTACAAATACAATTGGGGAACCATCGGAGGAGAAAGGAAAATGTAACTAATTACAAGTATTCTTGCTTTTCCTCAATTACATAAGTAAGGTAAAAAGTAGAGAAAATAATATTTATAGATAAAATACAGTAACAATGATTATTGTAAGTCACAAGATCTCAGCCAATAAATTTATCAATTAAGAGATCATTTTACAAAATTCCATAGTACACCAGAAACCGAACTAAAGATGTCCACTGAATCAGATGTGGAGACTCAGAACGGTCTTAAGGCGAAGTTGGTGAATGAACCAAATTTGAAGTAGCCATGTACAACATTTTCATTTGTCGACTCAAGCCAGACCCAGGATGAGCATTTACGTATGCCATCAATTGTTCCTGCAGTTTGCTTATGATATACATATGCTTACGTACATCAGCATCATTAGCATCTAAACCCATTACAGCCTCTTCCAAGTACCTAAAAACAAATCCAGAGGAGGGGGTTAAAAAAGAAACACATATGATCCTTGTTAATCAAAAAGCGAAGGTGCTGCACTGAATGCATGTAAGTAAAATTACCTCCTTTTCAGCTCTGTATGATCGTTCAGGTCAATGGAAAGCTGCTGAATCAATGATAACAGAACATTTTGTTTCAAGGGGAATGGCTGACTAGAGAACAACTCTTGTGGGTCAACCCGTTCACAGACGGTGAGAACAAGTGCAATACTTGATGCTGATAAAGCCTGAAACACAAATTCAAACCATTCATCCAGTAAATTCTTGTTGAAATTTTCGAGAGGAGTTAAGTTATCCCAAACATACCTGCTGGAAAGCTGAATTAAAATCTCTTTCCTGGATGCAATTTAGTATCCGTCTTTCCATACTCGCATAGTCACTGACCGAGTGCGCAGGGCTAACAGCACGAGAACGCACAGCTGTAAGACTTGTCAAAACACTCTCCTCAATGACTGCCTTCTGTTGCTTGAATCCTTGAGCAAGATTTCCTTTAACAGTCTCACTGATACTCTTGCTTAATTTATCATGAAGACTGCAAAATTATTTTAGGAATAAATACAAGTTACAAGGTTCTTTTCAATGACTCAAAAATAACACGGGAACAAAAAGGGGGAGCACTTCATGGTTTTTAATCTACTCACCTATTTTGAAGCCTTTGTAGTTGATTTTCAAGAGTATTGTTAAGCAATAATGTTTGTTGTTCATGAGCAACCTGCATAGATTCGGCGACAGACTGGAGCTGAATCAGCATTTCTTGGGCTCTATCAGTTTGTCTGCGCTGCTTTTCTACAGTTCCATCAACATACTGCATGTCTGGAAAAAATAAAAGTATGAAAACCTTGTTGTCAAATTTAGTCTTAAAGTCATAATAAACAAAAGAAACTTACATTCTTGAGTTCCTTTGGAGAAAGAATTATTTATCTGATGAAACATGCTCTGAGTAACCTTTTCCATACCAGGGACTAAAGTACCAAATGATTCTTTGTAAAGACTTTGAAGTGCAGGCTGAGCCATCACAAGTAAGGATTGGTTAAGCATATCCACAAAAGACTGCAAATTTCAATAAGCCGTTTTAGTTCAATAAATAAATCACTTCAAATTTTCACTTTAGATAATTCATATTTGTTCTCACCTTATTAGTAACCAACTTAGCCAAGTTATCTTTCATCAGTTGGTCTGTAGCTGCAAGTTTGGTGGCAACCTCAGTGGCCACTTGCTGCTTCATTTGTTGTACATGGCTTCTAACAACTGGAAAAAAAAAATGTATTAGTAGTTACACTACAACATGCAAATCAAATGAAAATTAATAAGTTTATTATAAATCTTTAATTTACCTGGCACAACCTCAGATTGTATTTCTTGAGATATGAGTACAGGGAGTTGAGTAGTTATTATATTACTAATGGACTGGGATATCACTGACATTAAAGCTTCTTGTCGCTGGTTCTCCTGTTGATCCCTAGCGCGCAGTAGATTTTGGACAGAATTTTGGAGAGCATTCTGAATAGCATTCTGGATGCTCATTTCCAATTGCTTTTGTTGAGCCAGAAGAAGACCTTGTATTTTATCGCCAAAGTGAGGTTCAACAGGTGCAGTCTGACTAAGCCGCAGTGCACTGACTTCTTGTCTTAAACTCTGTCCAAATAATAATAATAGAAACAGAACTAAACAAAACCTACAAGTGTAACTAAGTACAAATTGGACAGGTAGGTTTACCTTGATTTCAACTTGCTGCTGTTGGAGAGTTTCTAGAAGCAAGTCAACTCTGCTCCATGTTGTCTGTTGCTTCTCAAGCTGCTCAGCACTGACCATTACTGGTTGCTTCTCTTGTGCTGCAGCAACAACTGCTTGAAGAGCACTAGTAGTACTAGCAATGGATGTTGCTTGTAACGGGGTAGGCAGAGACAAGGGCAACTGTGGTGCCGACATGGCAGGAAGGATAATGTTCGATTCAGTTACTGGAATAGGGATGGGCCCCGGTATTGACCCAATACTGGTTTCAACCTTGATACTAAAATAGAAAGAAAAATTAAAAACATGCATTTGAAAATTTTCACAGAAAATCAAATTAGAAAAGAAAATTAGTTAAAAATATCATGCTTACATTGAAGGGTCTTCAGGAACACCTGAATTTGGAAAGTTGAAAAGTATCCCATCAGAGCTACCATGAGACAAAATTTCCTCAACTTCTCGACTAGGACTGCTTCCACCACTTGCTGTGGGCTCTCGCTTCCTTGTGAGGCAAGTGTCAGACTGAGCAGGAAAGAAAAAAGTTAACAAAACCTTCAAAACACTTACATTTTCCAAAATTATGTTAAATTTAGGGTGAAGATTTCCATGCAAGTAAAACACAAGCAGACACAGGAAAAATGCGCTAGAAGAGAAGTAGAAGTTACATAGACAATGACAAGAGGAGTCACTACGTGCTCTTCAAATTTAACATCAAGACAACAGCCAATGTTATATAACAAATCAATGATGTCTCCAACAGAAATAATAATTTAAGAAACAAATTGCTAACTTTTGGGCACAACTGAAACAAAGCCTAACTTTTGCATGCTGATGAAAGTCAGACATGCCCAAACAGGTCTAAGAACAAAATACAGTAGGAGCAGCCATGAATTGATCACTGATAGACATATTTCCACAAAATAAGTATCACAATAAAACCCAAAAGATAATTATCTAAAATGTCTAGCAAGATACTTTTGGTACATTTTAGGCCTTCACATACAGTGATCTACATTGAAATTACCATGGCTTTTCCATTGCTTTTTCCTTTCGTCTTCAAAGCTCTCAGATTTGCAGCTTCAAGTTTGGATGAAGATTCAGCTTGCTTTTTGGATTTCTCAGCAGGTAGTTGACCTAAGTGCTCGCTCACCTGTGCCACAAGATACTGTATGTCACATTGTACATGAGTCATTAGACCCTAAGCCAAGTAAAACTTTGGTAGCCAAGGATGAAGGTTGGCAGCTTGTTTAAAGATAAAGCTTGCATGTTAAGAGACTGAATGATGCTAACTCACGCATACTACAAATGTATTGGTGAGTTGGCATGGGTGTTGACTTTATGAAACAGGGAGGAGAAGTAAAGCATTGATTGATAAGATAAATTAGTAATTGTTAGCATTCTTAACATCAACTTACTGGCAACAGAGGACTCTTCTGTGTGCCATCTGTATCGCTTTTTTCATTTGAAGAACTAAAATCGTCAGGAGTCATCAGATTACTTAGGCACTTGGGTTCTGAAGATTGACGAAGTTCGGGCAATGGTGTCACATTATTAGTACTATCTGTAACTGCCAAAGCCAAAGTCGATGTCACAGAGCTTTGATTGCTAATGATCTTCTCCTTGCAGTTTTCGGAGACGTCAGAGAGTCCTTCTGCAAAGGCTAAGATGGAAAAAAAAGAGTAGCAGAGAAAAAATTAGACACCACTTAAACCATCATTAAGGTGAGAATACCAATTAGGGTTATGATAAGTCCTGATAAGACAGTTTGTTTCACAAGTAACACAAAACGACAATAAGTACAGGATTAGCAAAAGAAATTTAAAGGAAAAAGCAATCGGAAAGGTAATGATAAACTTAACATGCATTTAATATCACTGTACCTTTGAATAACTGAGGTGAAAACCCACCAGGAGATTCCTTCCCTAAACACACATTAAATGTTAGTGATATGATGAACAAACCATGAGTTGGAATAAGTACAATAGGATTACATCAACAAAATAGACGGGGATGATAACAAAGCCTATCTAAAGGAAAGGGATCTGGTGTTACTAAAACCTAAGTAAGGAAAATGGAGACCTGTCAAAGGTGATATTTTTTAGCTTTGTCTTTACCCAAAATAACAGTCATGCAACTAAGTCACTACCAACCAACCACAAAGTCTCAAATCAACAGCCAGGTTAAAAGGACTTCAGGGATTTTTAACTGGTCTAAACAACAAACTTCAAATAGGATATTCTAGAGACTTAGTTTCAAATTGCAAAGATTAAAATACCTAGAGTATCTTCTGAAAATATGCTCATTGTCTTCTTGGCTTCTTCGGGAGGATCAAATGAAATAATGCAGCCTCTCAGAGATTTAGGGTGCACAACATACATTCTGACAACCACTTTCAGTGACTTCTCTTCATCGTCTTCTTCCCCTATGTAACACAAACAAAAAAGAGAATAGCCGATATTATAAAGGTCAGATTCTTCACCCAATATAATGAGAAAAGAAATGAACCTCACCTGCATCATCATTGTCCTCATCATTGTTATCCATGAGGGCTGTCTCCAAATTGCTTGTAACATCATGATGACTTTTTACGCTTCGAATCCCAGCATCGACAATTCCAAAACTAAGGATTGGATTGGGCAAAAGAAACTCAGAAACAGCGCAAACTCGTGCTAAATCTGTCTGCACATCTTTTTCAAGTTGAAGGACATATAGAACCTGCAACAACAATAGCAAGTGAGTTGATTGATTAATCAATACGTAGAATTTCTCAGGAAAGGAATAAAACTTGCTACATTCTCACCCTATTGTTAATATCAGAGAGCATTATAAAGTCACCAGACAGATCAATACCAGCTTTCAAACTGATAGTTCCCGGTAAGGGTGAAGATCGATTAGAAGCAAAACATATAGTCTGTAGGCAGGACCAGGTCTCGCATGACCAAATTTTTAGTTCAGAATTATTATCTGATCCAGTCACAACATACTTCCAAAATTGAGTGCTGGAACAAAAAGAACGTTAGCAATAAAAGGAGGAAAAATTTCAAGTATGTTATAACCTGCAAAAAGGTGGGGATACATACTCTGCAGCTGCTGAGTGAGATCGATGGTTATCAAGGAAAAATAGCGACGACAGTGGTTTTCCATCATGTGGTTGCCACATATGAAGACAACGAGGCTCTTCTGAGCCTTGCATGTAGACCTGGTAAATAAAACACACATAGAACAGGACACTGGGACTAACAATAGTAAAACAGGAGCTGTTCAAAATAATGAGAGCCTTCATGTACCTGGAAAAATTTAACATATCCATCCAAGCTGGCTGTTGCTAAAGCAGTACCATCAGGTGAAAATGCAACATCAACAATGTCTAGCTCATGGTGGTTCAAGGAGAGCATTCCCTCCTTAATGTCATCAGGACGAAGTTCTTTATCTGTTCCATACTTCTTAGTCACCATTTCTACATTCCATATTTGCGCCTAGACAAGACAATGAAAACAGAAATAGGACATTGAAAGTGGCCAAAATTTAACTCACAACTATATATTTTTGTAGTGTCAAATTTAATACCTTGGGACCATGAGTCACGACTAGCATGTTTGCCACTTCTTCATCCTCTGGATTTGAGGTGTCCCCATCATCTTCAGGTATGAATGGACACCAAACTAGACGATGAATCAAGCCTGTTGGCTTAGGATCAATATTTTGAGACACATGTAAAATTAACTTGGTTCTGTAACACTACTAAGGAATCTATAACTCAATAAATATTGTAGTTCAAGAAATTTTATGAAAACAGGTAGGATTGAAAGGATACTGTAGTGCATTCAGCGTGTCTTCAATTCGGTACACAAACAGGGTTCCAGCTTCATCAACAATTCCAAGAACAACTTGGGACGCTATGTGAGCAAACGAAATATCCTGAACAACTCCAGTGATACCTTTGCAAAGGTATCGATGGTTATTTTGACGGTTGACGATTCGCACCATGCTTTCACTTTTGGAAACAACTGACGAACAGAAACAAGCACACTATTGACAAAATTACAATGTAAATGATCAAACTACAAAATATGCATGATTTCAGACAGACCTTGAATGCCAAATGCAATAAACTTCCCCGAAAGATGGACCGCTAGGAGCTGTCCTTTGTAAAATCGGACATCCCAGCTGTGATCTACAATATTGTTGGTCTTAACATGAGAGCTGCTTTTATCGTGATTTCCAGCACTGGGAATGATAACTACATCAGAGCTGACAATTTCTGTGCTGTGCTGATCATCACTCCCTTGAAATTGGCTGCAAATAAATTTTGACAATGCATTAGACAAATCTGAATGAATGTCTCACAATTTCATCTCAAACGTTAGAAACTTACACAATCTGCCTTGCATCTGATGGTGTCATGATGGCTTTCTCTGGTCTGGAATACAAATGAAAATGATAATAAAATAATAATTTCAAGAGCAAATCTTGGAGCTTCATCAAATAGTTGTGAGTTCCCTGACACGGCCACACATCAGTGGATTTTGACGTTAATGGCCACTTCCAAGATTGCTTAGTGTGCAGGTGTGGAGAGTTCTACAAAATTGCACACAAAGTACACACCAATGACAGCCATAATGCCTTGAGATCAGGTATGACATTAACTATGGGAGGTTATGAAGCCCTAAGTACACAGATAGCAAAACACGTAGGGGAGGGAAAAGAGAGGACATAACCCAAAGGAGACTGATGTCGCTCTAAATATCACAACTAAAATACAAATGCATTACCCCTTGATGGGTGAAGACTGACCCGGCGATTTTCTCCGACGAGGTACGTGATGCCCAGCCAGATTCAAACCGTACACAAACTGGAATAGGGAAGCTGTATAACATAACTACTTACTTTTTATCTTCTTCAGCTCCCGCGAAGAAATACGACTTAATGCTTTTCAACATGAATAATGCCCTCAGATGAATCTGGAGGAAGATACAAGACTATGCATCATCCCTCCTGTTCTGCCGCCGAGCCGAGGTTGATTGAAAGGAGTGTGAGTGAGAAGGAGAAGGGGAAGGGGGACGACCAAAAGCCGAAACTTTGACAAAGTGCTATTCAGATTGCTATACGTCACTGTCTCTCTTCCCCGTCTCTTACCTTATACTCGTCCCAGCGTAACCTTTCCGAAAGTAGCCCCTCGTCCGTCTTTTCCCCAAATCGGCGCATTTTATTTCACAATCCTCAGGAAATAAGTATTGATTCTAAAAATAAAGGCGATTCCGGCAGACAAAAATGTGTGGGGCTTTCACTGATATAAGCAGTTATTATTGAATCTCTTTCAGTTGCTCAAAGATAATCTAAAAAGTCGGGAGCTCGGTCGGGAGGAGAAGCCGCCCTCGCGCACAAAATCCGGGATATCTAAAGAAGAAGGCAAAGTTTCGCAAAATAAAGGCGATTCCGGCAGACAAAAATGTGTGGGGCTTTCACTGATATAAGCAGTTATTATTGAATCTCTTTCACTTGCTCAAAGATAATCTAAAAAGTTGGGAGCTCGGTCTAGAGGAGAAGCCAGCCTTGTGCACTCAAATCAAAATTTCTGAATAATAAGGCACAATTTCGAAAGACAAGGGCCAGCTGGGCATACAACAACGTCTTAGGTTTAGAGAAATGCAAGCTGTCATTATGATATCTCTTTCAGTCACTCAATCTTAGTGCAAAAAGAGGGTCCTAGAGACCGGTGTTTTGAGGGGCTCGGACCGGCGCGTCGTCTGCCCGCGGAAATGCAGAACCCGGAATGCTTAGTGATTAGGTCTAAGATTGTTCGTATTTTTTCAACGTTGTTTACTTATACGATTTATTACGATCGCAACGGTCTAGAATTGATTATTAGTTTTTAAAAATCCTATTACCTGCGGGACTATTTTCTGTTCTCTGGCTACTGGCGGAGTGATTTGGAAAGGTTACGCTGGGACTATCCGCTTGGGCGATGGTGGATAGTGGACAGTGGACGTTTCAGGGTGCGACGTTGCCAGCCTGCTTTTGTTTGTTTACTTCCTCGTCTTGTCACCCTCCACACATGGTTCTCATCTCGTGTTTTAGCCTTTTCTAACTCACTATGCAAGAAATGCAGCTGGAGCAGCTTCAGGAAATAGCGCAATGAGTTCAAAATGATGATATTGTTATTGGTGAGCGGCAACGTCGCACTGAACCAGCGCCTTATAACCGGGAACAGACTCTCCTGAAACGTCCACTATCCACTATCCACTAAGGGCTAAGCGGATACGGGGTTATTCGCGTCCGCAAACTAAAGTCAGAGACCTCTGGTGGCTGAGCTGGAACTAAACATAGCGGGCGACGGAGCAGCGGGTTTTTCAGATAGAGTAGTTGAGCTAACGCCGGACAAGAAGAAGAAAGGAAGAACAATGCTTCAAGAACATGGCCGCCAGGGGCTTTGTCGGCTGCTAGGCCCAATCAGGAGCCTCCGGCCGCCATGTTCTTGAAGCATTTCTTCCTTTCTTCTTCTTGTCCGGCGTTAGCTCAACTACTCTATTGGAGTTCTCTGTTTGGCCATGATTTTGTGCTTTTATTCGTATATTGCGCTTTTAAGTGAATAAAATGGGTGTGACTTTTCAAAAATAAATGCCGCTCGCTGTTGTAGAAAAACGCTGTCTTGTATCAGATGCCTTTCTAATGGCTAAGAATGAGAAAGAACGTCCAGACCTAACCTAGTCGGCATGTTGTCGGTCCGCGCCATGCCTCCGGTGGCGTCTGCTCCAAGCGCTGACACGGGGAGGAGGGGAAAAGTGGCTAAATATTAAATTTAACAAATTAGAATTGCTAAAATCACGCTCATTTGAGGTCATAGGAGTCCATAGCTTCCGTAGAGAATAAAGTCACAGACAAACATAGTATAGAATCTAACGAAAGTACATTAATAACGAAGAAAACAAGCCACCTGTTTCGAAAATGGCGGTGCTCCGTCGCACGCTATCTGGGGGCGACGGTGCTGCGCTCTCGCGTCGTTGCGGACGCGAATTTGCGACAGAGTCGGAATTCGGACGTACCATTTTTATCTGTTGCAGGCAAGTGTTTCTTCTTGAGATATGTAGGTATATTCCCAAGACCAGGTACTGCCAGGACCAGCGAAACTGGAGAGGCAGTTCGTTCAAAAATCCAAATTTAGGCGCCTTACGAAATGGAAATAGTGCCAACGTACACATACTAATACCCTGTAGTTTACGTTCTCAAATACAGACTTCTTGAATTTTTCCGGAAAGCACATCAAAGATCCCACTATAAACAAAGTTTTTCAAACTTCATATCTTTTCCTTTTTCTACAGCATTTCGGAAGTAGAAGTTTGCTTAAGAAAAAGGTTGGTATGGGTTGTATCGATACTCCATCGATATTACATATCGATATCCCACTCCACCCCACCCCCTCCCACCTCACCCCACCTCCCCTACCACTTTCCCCGTCAAATAAATTGTTTTTGTCGGTGCGGTAGGTTATTTCAATCAATGCCAAACCTCCAATGGTATGAAGTAAGGGGCCTCCTACGGGGCTAGTGGTAGACGTAGTTGTTAAACAAAGTAAGAAAGAGTTAGTCTCGACTGTCATCTTTTTTCATGATGGACAAAAAAAGATACATGTTTCATAACATACTACTTCTCATCGGTGCTTCACTGGTAGTCTTAATTTTATACTTTGAAATTCTTCAGTTAGAAGGGAGTAATCAAAAACTAAGTAAGTGTTATTTCCGCCCCGTTTTGCTGTCATTTTCGTATCACCCCTCATCATTTTTCATTGTGAGTAAAAGGACACAATTTTGTTTCTCATTGTTATATTTTTCTCATTCAGCGGAAGAAGTGTCTTTGATAAGGGCACAAATGCATCGCAATGATAAATCAAGTTTATCTTCCCCAATAATTGGAGGTGGAGCTGGTGGAGGATCTCTTGTTGAGGTCCCAAATGTAATTTTGGATGAACGAAAGGATTTAGTCGTCATCTATAATCGAGTGCCAAAAACTGGTTCCACTAGCTTTATCAATGTGGCTTATGACTTATGTAGGCAGAATAGCTATCACGTTCTTCATATTAATGTAACTGCCAATATGCATGTGTTATCACTAGCTAATCAGGTAGGTCCCAATATAATTAATTCTATTTCTTTAAAATGAATTTTAAATACCTAATATTTGTGTACAATTGCAGGTCAAATTTGCATTTAATGTAAGCAAATGGGATGCTATTAAACCAGCTTTGTACCATGGCCACATAGCATTTGTAGATTTTGCAAAGTAAGTCTTACCATTGCAAGCCTTACATTAATATGTTAGTGTTCCATTACCTCTAATAAATTGAAATTTGTTGACAGGTTTGGAATTAAGTCTCATCCTGTTTGGATTAACCTCATTCGACGTCCTCTTGATCGTCTCGTGTCGTATTACTATTTTCTGAGGTTTGGAGATGATTATCGCCCATACCTAGTACGCAGAAAACATGGTGATAAGATGGTATGACCCCAAGTTATGCTTATGCACCCTTCACTCTCTGTGTCTTTATTATCATTGTTTAATTTTTTTCCCCAAGAGCTTTGATGACTGTGTTCAGAAGAAGCAAGCAGATTGCCACCCTGACAACATGTGGCTCCAAGTGCCCTTTTTTTGTGGCCATTCTGCTTCTTGCTGGTAAGTGCAAGAAGTTAGTGTCACAGTTTCTCCTTTTAAGTTTTTAAATACATTTTTTCTTGTATATTGTAGGGAACCAGGAAATAAATGGGCTTTAGAGGAAGCTAAGCGCAATCTTATCAATCAATATCTGCTTGTGGGTGTTACTGAAGAGATGGAGGACTTTATTCGAATGCTTGAAGTAACACTTCCAAGTTTCTTCAAGGGTGCAGTGAAACACTACCTGAACAGTAAGTTTGGCCATATTATTACACAATATTGGGTCGTATTTTATTTGAAAATGTTGCAAATGTTATAACTTTTCCATTTTTTACCTTCAAAGGTAAAAAGTCTCATCTCAGACGAACTGTTCAAAAGACAGTACCCTCCTCTGGTACTGTAAAAATAATACAAGAATCAAAAGTTTGGCAAATGGAACAGGAGCTGTATGATTTTGCCCTAGCTCAATTTCATTTCATGAGAAGGAGGACTCTAGGGCAAAGTGCTACCAACAGGTCAACTCAAGCAACAACTGAAAGACCGCAACAGTTTATGTATGAGAAAATACGACCCAAATAACATTGTTGACTAAAAACCATGTCAGAGACTCCAACAATGAATTCTTAAATGCAGTACTTACAGAGCTCAACAAATGTGTTTTAAGGTTTTGTCTTTTGTTTCACTTATTTGTTCCTGAAACAGGATTGAGAGAAATTTGAGAAGTAACTCAATTCCTGAATGATGAGGAGGTCTCTCAGCATCCACATTTCTTCTTTATACCAATATCAAAGACAAAAACTGAAAATCCCGTATTATTAGTACCTGTTTATTGATTAGTGCTCAGCATGTGATACATTTGTACTTTGATACCTATTTTTTGTTTGAAACTTGCCTCTGTACACTGACATAAAAACTAGAAATGTTTAGACTTAAAAAGTAAAAATGCAAAAAGTCTGTTCTGTGGATCAGTCCCTAGCTGTTACAAAAATGTAGGCAGTCAAAGTTTCGATTGGACTCAAAACATTCAGGTAAATAAGAACAGTTTATTGTTTTTGTTTTTTTCATTTGTTTCTGAATTTTGTTCCATGGCAGTTCATTATCTAGATGTAAGAAGACATTATAAACGTTACATGAAAGTTGGAGATGAGGCAAATCATTTAAATCATATCTTCCTTAAACTTGTACATAGTTATGCTTGTTTTAATTTTGTATTAATGTTATTTTATTTTAACTCTGATGATGAGAGGCTTTAATGATAAAATTGAAATTAGACTGACGGTGTATTTTTTCTTATTACTTGACTGTGATTTTTTGCCTCTAGTACTTAAATAAATTATCCTGAATCCTTTTTCAAACTTACCTTATCTACCCTGACCATTCAAATTTTTTATAAACCAAGCACCACCTTATTAATTCTACTTTTGTTCTCAGCCAAGCTTGATTGGCCATGAGGAAAGTAGGGCTTGTGTCAAAAGAGGGTCTGAGATCGACAATGTTAATTGTAAACCCGTTTAACATCTTAACTTTGGTATACAAACATACACATGTAGAAAATTAACTGTTGGCAAGAACAGAGATGTTGTGATAGCCATAGACATGTTACAACAATAAAACATTAAGTTTACTAGAATTACAAAGTATGAAAATACTGAAGTATAACTTTATATAAAAAGAAAAACTATATATAATTCTTTGAAACCAATGGAATGAAAACTACTTTTAAATGTGTAAGTTCTCTATGACTATACCCAAGAGTCCACAGTAAAACAGTCTGAAAAGATATCAAAATTCACAGCAAAGAAAGGAACACAAAGACCAAAAATTAAATTAAATCTCCAGATCCCCCCAAAATAGGTTGACAAGATACATCACTGGAAATAGGAAATAATATTTCTAAAATACAGACTTCCATGTCTTTTATATCATTACCAAAAAAAAAAGGCTGTGGATTCGTCACCTTGTGCAACATCATGTTACACTACTAAATGGTACTTCGTCAACCAGGTACTTAGCTATGGAAGCAGTATAATTCAGCAGATACACACAGTTGAAATATGACAAAACAACAAACAGTAGCATAAATGCTGTATCTGTTCAAAGGTTAAGGTATTTGCATCATAGATAGCTGACAAAAGACAACAGAAACTTAGGAGAAACGTCAAAACTTCAAACCGACCCTACATACTTGTTGATTGAAACACACAGCAAGCGAACGCGACCAGAAATCTAAACTAAAACGAGATAAAGTTTACGAAATTCCTTAAGAGACATTGCTTGAAAACAGCAGCCAGGAAGCTAGATATTCCTGATCCTAAGGAAAAAGACTAAGTTAATGATACATCTAACCTACAGGAATGCCAAAAAGGATACTTGTAACTCTTTGTTCCCATGTTTCAACCATATATAACTCTGTCACCATGAGGTAACGAAAATACCAATAGCTGAGAAAATTGCTCAGCCTCTCAAAAAACTTCAACATCGCAGCGTTCAGGTAATTAATTCGAAAATGTGATCGTTGTTTTGAGACCGCTTACGTTGTACCGAGTATCGTGGGAGGGGGATGAAGGGGAGGGGAGGCGGGGGAGACCGGGAAAAGGGGGTGGGGTGGGTGGATGTATGATTCACTCGAAACCCGATAAACTTCTAACGAAACGATAGACTCGATAAAAAATTATAGTTTGATTGATCTACTAGAACTGAAGAGTACAGCAAAATCTGTCAGGTTTCTGTGGTAAACTGACCGGCCACGGCAGGTCGAACGCGTGACGCCGAAGCAAACGGCTGCAAACGAAGTACTGTGGAAGAAAACGCAAACAATCGCCCCATTCCGCCTTGGTTAAGCATGTGGAGTTTATTCGGATAATAATGCAATACGTGCTCAGTTTCGAATGCGTTAATAGAGCCGCCGAAGTAATTCCCCTTGCGCCGTACTTGGCGTTTCGAGAAGGCATGAGCGCGGGGCGGACCGTGCTGCCATCTGTTATCGCTATCTGTAAACACTCATTTCTAGGGGTGGCAGAAAACGCATTAGTCCAAGACGCATCAAACCTCGTTTCTCGTTTTCCGTGGCGGGCGCGCCATCTTGGATTTACGTCCGAGAAGCCGGCACAGCGACAATTTTACTAGGAATTTCGGACTTAAGGTTCATGTTACAAGATTTTGCGCTCGACCTCCCGTTTGTCTGTGAAAGCAAGATTTGTGTTCGTGAACCATTCGACTCAGGAATGCATTAGGTACGCCGGAATCCCTCATATTAATAAATCGGTAGGCTTGTTAAAAGTATAATGGCGCATGGAAGGGCTAGGCTTCTGTGAGGTTTTCAGTGACTGAAAGTGTTCCTCACTTTGGTTTCGGCCTCGGCTCGCCGTCCAAAGTGTTCATCGCAGGTATTTCTGCGAAATGATTTTCTCGGTTTGGCCGTAGCAGTGGAAATATACACCTAAAATCAGTTAAATAAATCGAGCTGCAAGTCATGGCCTACTGGATTTATGTAACATTTGTGAGTTGGGAAGTTTCGTGTGATATTTTAGAATGTATTACTGAATGCTAGTGGCACACATTCCCATTGAAGCAGCTGAAACATTATTGTTAGGCATGGCCTAGCGCAGATTTCTTGTCTTGTTTTGGGTTGGTTGTGGATCTGGGATGGGCTGCCTCCTAACCTGTCACAGACCACACCGATGGCTTGTGGCTTGTCCCTGTTCTGTTAATGTGATCTTTCAAATTATATCACTGATTCACTATTTTTGAAAATTTGGTTCGTCTTCCGTGTATTTATTTCTTGCCTACTGTTTGTTTTTAGAGACTGCTACTTGTTAAATATTTCAATTGCAGAAGCAGCCAAATTTCAATTCAGACTGTTTCTCATGACATTCTCCTTAATTCATTCTTATTAGGTATCATTAGTTGTAAATTTCGTTCAATTAAATTGCCAAACATAGATGCAGAAAAAGTAATTTCCAACATAGTTTTGTTGTTGTTTTCCTGTTGCCTGGATCCCTTTGACTTGTTATACGTATTCGAAGTTAACTCAGTCTACTCTCCTCAATTTCAGGTCATATTTTAAAAGCTTATGTTGGGCACCAGCTGCTTAAGAAGCATCATTCCCTTATCCAGAGCTCTTACTCACCAGCCTGCACAATGGCACTGCCCAGCAGGGCACGAGTGTATGCTGAGGTAAATTCTCACAAGCCACGAGATTACTGGGACTATGAGTCATACGTAGTAGACTGGGCGTAAGTATTCTTTGTCTGATTATTTTATTTCTCTCTTGTTTTTTGTTGTTTTTTTTTTGTGTGTATTTTTTCAATGCGTTTGGACCATTGATAAACATTTGGTGTCCTATTTTTGTAGACAACAAGATGATTATCAGTTGGTGCGTAAACTTGGGAGAGGGAAGTACAGTGAAGTCTTTGAAGCAATGAATATTGCAAAAAATGAACGTTGTGTAGTTAAAATATTAAAGGTAAGAATGTGATTCTTCTCACTGAATTATGTGAGTTTTAAGTTCGTGGACCTGTTCAGAAATCACCTCTTCCTTTTTCTACAGCCTGTCAAGAAGAAGAAGATTAAGAGAGAAATTAAGATCTTGGAAAACTTGCGTGGTGGCACTAATATTATCACCCTGCAGGCAGTGGTGAAGGACCCGGTGTCCAGAACACCAGCACTCATTTTTGAACATGTCAACAATACTGACTTCAAACAGCTGTATCAAACCCTTACGGACTATGACATTCGCTACTACTTGTATGAATTATTGAAGGTGTGTGAATTTGTATTCCGTATTTTTGTGAGGGTAATTTTAGGCTTTGGGTTTGTTTGTTTTTTTTTTTCAAATGTCAGCTGATTTTTAATTTTATTATTTTTTAGGCACTAGATTACTGCCATAGTATGGGTATCATGCACAGGGATGTCAAGCCCCACAATGTCATGATTGACCATGAGAACAGAAAATTGAGGCTCATTGATTGGGGTCTTGCTGAGTTCTATCATCCTGGCCAAGAGTACAATGTCAGAGTTGCCAGCCGCTACTTCAAGGGCCCAGAGCTGCTAGCAGACTACCAGGTAAATCACACTGATAATTCTGTACTCAAACTGTTGCTTTGAGAGGTTGGTAGATTCCACTCTGTTATTATGATTTCTTTCAGATGTACGATTATTCACTAGACATGTGGTCACTGGGCTGCATGTTGGCCAGTATGATCTTCAGGAAAGAGCCTTTCTTCCATGGCCATGACAATTATGATCAGTTGGTCAGAATTGCTAAGGTGCTGGGCACCGAGGAGTTGTTCGAGTACCTTGAGAAATATCATGTTGAACTAGATCCTAGGTTTAATGATATTCTTGGCAGGTAATGCAATTGAGTGTTGGCTTACTTCTCTTGTACCCCAGCATTGATGCCCTATACTTATATGGTCTTTCCTTACTGCAGACATTCACGTAAGCGATGGGAAAGATTTGTACACATTGATAACCAGCATTTGGTTTCGCCGGAAGCTCTTGACTTCTTGGACAAGCTCCTGCGGTATGACCACTATGAGAGGTTGACTGCTCGGGAAGCGATGGAACATCCCTACTTTTGTAAGTTATTTTTTGATTGTCGCTTGATGTCAAGTTGTCAACAGCAGAAGGAACTGTCATTAACTTGATACTTTTTCTAGATCCCATTGTGAAGGACCAGGGCCACCTCAACATGGTCTCATCCTCACCTACTCCTATGTCAGGCACTGGGCCTGCAGGTGAGTAGCCTCACAGGTAATGACAACTCCCATTTTTTTCTTTTTTTAGTTCATAAGATTTGTTAAAATACTCCAAACATGAACTTACATTCATTATCCTCTGTTTATAAGTTTTTTCTTGTTCTCAATTCAGAATTTGAAACAGAGTCATTTAAATATTTTGAAACAAAAATCAGAATTGTCTTGCCCATTGGTACTTACAAACAAGTCAACTCCTGGGATGTTGTACTGTCAGCTAACAAGGTCCATTTATTTTTCAGGTGGAAATTCTGTGAATGTACACTTGCCTACCTCTCCGGTCATCTTACCAACAACGGGCAGCAGTAATTCGCAACCCTGACTTATAAGAGCATATAATTCCAACAATATAGATAAAGAAACAATTAGCATTTCTTCATTGTTAACCCAATAAAGGATGGGAAAACCTTCTTTGATGACACACTAAGGTGACCTGCCTAAATCTGTTTGTATGAAATTTTGAAGTGATTGTTTTTTCATTTCTAGTTACTACTGATCAAACAGTTCTGTGTTGTGTAAGTGCGAGAGTGATTGTATGTATGTGCTTGAATGCCTGAATATTTTGTGGACAATTTGCTGTTGGCTGTTTTTGATATTCCGTACACTGGTGTTTTGATCTACCTTCATTTTATTTTAACAGTAATGATGAGTTAGCAACACATCAGCGGGCAATCAAAATCACATTTGACACTGTTTTGGAGAGTGTCTCACACAACAGCCCTAGGGCTCACTATACTGTACTGTTGCTGTCCTTTTTTATGTACTTTAGTTCAAGTAATTTAATATTTTGTTGGCTAGAAACACAAAACAGATTGATAGCAAGAAATTACATTGGGAAGTATATGCCGGTTCAGTGTGAAGTGCTGTGCTCCTTCTGAGCTCTTATGGTCTTCAGAGGCACCACTAGTTCTATATTGTACATGAATATCATTAAACATCTTTTATCCCAAGACAACCAAATTCATCTTTTTTGTGTAATTAATTTATTATAATGCCTTGTCTCACCTTAGTTGAATGGAAAGTATGTTTCAGTAGTACTGTACACATGCATTTTACGTCTTGTCTGCTTGTGTCATGTCTATTTTATATTAAATTTATTTTTCTTGGAATTTGAATCTATCAAACCAACCTTGTCCTGTTCCATGAAATGTGTTTGTAACCTTAGGCAGCTTACCTTTGTGGATTCATAATCTGATGCATACTTTCCATTCAATACAAATGACAAACATGTTCTGACGAAAGCAGCAGGGCTCAAACCAAATGAAGTGTATAAAAGTCACCGTACTAAGGAAATGTCTGCAGATGGAGGCTAAGATTGCATGGAAGTATGATTGTGCATCTTTTTTCCAGAGTAATTCTACATTAATTACCAAAATGTTGTAGGCAAATGATTTATTATGTAGAAATTGTAACTGTTTGAAAACCTCGGTCCAAGTCTGAAATACTGGGGCTTATTTTACTGCTACCTTATGAAATCAACTCTATCGATTAGCTGTATCCATCGTGCACTGCCCGTTCACATTGTGTATGATCTGTTTGTTGGTTTTTTTTTTGTGTTTTTTTTTTCTATTTTATTATGGAATTTAAAGTTATTGCGAACATTGTGCAACTACCGTATTCCAGTGATATTGTTCGTGGTTTAGTTGGTTAATCACTGATAATCCTATGAAGTCTTTGATATCATTTCCTGTACTGTGAACTTGTTGCTTCTTGCTGAGGACATGTGACATTTTGTTGTATATATGTGCCGACATACAGCAGCTGATTAAATGGATGTTATACATTTTCAGTCGCCATTAATTATTACCTTTTTTTCCCAAAATATATTTGAGTAGACATACTCTACCAAACTTTATTTTACACTTATTACACAGTTAAAAGCTAATACCTAAGTATAATATCATGGCGCAGAGGTGTTGATCCGCAACCCATGCATATCTTTAATTTCTTCTTTCAGCACCTGTACAAGACACCAACTTTAAATTTCTGCCAACCAAACTTTATAAAAAACAGAATATACCGCCAAAATACTTGCCTCATTTATCATTCGATGTTGCTTGACTATGCTTAATCCTTTCAACTCCGGTGCAAGTACTGTTATATCATACATAGCTCCGCATCCTCCTAAACATCAAGGAAAACGAGATCAAAATGCCACTTGACAAAGAAAAATTGTTAAAATAGTTTCAATTAAAATTACCAGATATATCTACAACTTCTATGACTTTTGCATTTGGGAAAGATTTTTGTAAAATTGTTTTCAATTTATCCTCTCCAGAGGGTTGCGTTGGTGCTCCATGGTTTTCAAACCTTCTTGCAGCTATCTGAAGTAAAAACAAAGTCATGCGGTTGAGATACAGAGAAAATAATATCCGTTTAAAATAAATTATAATTATTTAAAAGCGAGTTAGAAAAGTAATCCCCTATACCAACTAAACAAATACATAACCTAAGGAAACACAAAGATAATAGGAACTCACAAGAAGCTGCTTGGTATCAAGGAACTTTCTAACTCTTGAAAACATTTTAGAGGTATATTCCCAAGATTAAAAGAATGTCATCCCCTGCGTTAATTGCAATAATGAAAATACCCCGTGCGGCGCAGAGAAGTCAGGGCATCAGGGCCATGTTTCTTTCTATGGTAAGGGAGAGGGGGAGGGGAGGGAGGGAGAAGGGGTGGGGAGATGGGCCCCGCAGCGGCAGTTTCAAACATTCGTGGCTCTGCTTCTCTCTAGAAAGTAACGCACTGTCCTGAGAACAATAGAAGATGTTTCTGCTGGAAAATATTTATTTGTCTCGGCTGGGCACATTTCCAGAGAAAGTCCATAACCAACGCGACTGTACCGGCATCAGGCCTTGCGACGCTTAGATGCGGCTAGGCAGAGGTTTGGTCAAAGTGGCATTCATCATGTCACTAGCGAATCCACAATGGAGCCCCACACATCGCCACTGCCGTTCCGTCTCTCTGGTCCGGCGAAAACCGGCCACCCACGTGCTGCTCGTGCCCCTCGGGCCCCTCGGGCCCCTCGGGCCGGCCGGGCTGGGGCTGCAGTCTGATTCCGCAATCATTGTCGTCGCTCTGTCTTTCTCCCACTTGTACGGAACCCTCCCATGAGTGAGTGAGAGGGAGACGGCGACGTGAAGGATGTGCGGAATCAGACGACTGGTGGAGGCGGAGCGTGTAGGGGTTGGGCGCAGGGCCCCGAAATGGCATGCAATCATTTGCCTCGAAAGTTGAGGTGGGTGATCCACCCGCGCGTGCATGCGCGCACTTTTGCTCACCCCACTTGCCCCCCTTCACCGCTCGCCCACCATCGCCGTCCTCGCGGTGGAGTGGGCCCGGCGTCCTGGACCGTCCAGGTCCAGCCAACGAGGCACTTTGTGCTCACAATTGAAATTGGCCGAGTTGTTGTGGGCGAAAGCGTTAGGCAGCCGCTAAAGGGTTCGGACGCCTCCTCGAAAATTACTTAATCGGCCGTCCGGCGCTGCAGGCTGACGCTGTCTCTCTCGCACTCATGGGGCGTGTCGTGGATCAAGTGCAGGAGAGACAGAGACACCGCTCGAAATCAGGCTGCAGCGCTGACCTCGCGATAACCCATTCCCGTTGTGCACTTTTCTGCGCTGCAGGACTGAGACCAGGAAAACGCTTTATTTTTTCGAGTTTTTTACCCTTATGTCAGTCGGTGTCGGTCTGTTTTCCAACACCAGCCTGTGTTCTCGAGCCGGGCCGCGTTGACATCGTTGACACGGCGCTGCGGGATCACGGGACTGCGTGACGTCACGACCAGCACACCTGGGCCCCCGCCCCGCCCCGCCCCGCGCGGTGCTGTGCTGTCGTGTCGCTGTCGGTGCTGCCGTTTGGGCCGGGGTCACCTGGGCCTGTACCCTTTACTCCACTATGACGCCCCGCCCCGCCGCGGCACTTCGCGGCCCGCGATCGCGCGTTGCCCGGCGTTGCCCACCCCCCCCTCTCCCCTCTCTCCCCGCGGGGCCCAGCGGGGCCTAGCAGCCTGGTGGTATGCGCCCGGTCGGCGCGCCGCGCAGGCAGGCAGGGCCGCCGCAGTCAAGTCAGTCGCCGGTCGGCCGTGGCGCGGTGTTGGTCGCGGTCTTCGATGTGCCCCCGGAGCGAAGACGACGCGCAGCGCAGTGCCTCGCAGTGCAGTGTCTCCAAGTGAAGTGCAGTGAAGTGAAGTGTCTTTTTGCTCGGCCGGCACAGCCCGGCGCGGTCATGCGCGACAACCCGTGGAACATCCCCCGCGGCCTGCAGCAAGCCCGTCGCTCCCTGCGCGCCCTGGTCGCGCACGCCAAGCGAGGCTCCGCTCCGTCCGCGTCTGCTCCGCCCACCCCCAGTGTCCGCCCCGTCCGCCCCCGGTCGTCGACGCCACCGCTGCCGGCGGACGCGGTCGCCACCCTCAGCAGGCCGCCCCCGCGGCCCCGGCCCCGGACGACGCCGCCCCCAGCGACGGGCACCATGCTGCCCCCGCAGCGGCCGGCGCGCCGCCCGCCCGCCATGCACACCATCAAGGACTACCCCGAGCACCTGAACCCCTTCCGCGACGACGAGGACGCCGCCGTGCCGCCGCCGCCGCTGGACGACGACGAGCCCCAGCTCAGGCCCACGCAGGACAAGTTCGGCACCTGGACGGTGCCGCGCCGCCGGTCGCACCTCAACTTTGACTGGTGAGTCTTGGTCGCGGTTCCCGCGGTTGGCGTTGCCACTTGAGTCGTCAGCGTCGCCATGTTTCGAGCCCTGAGGGGTGCCAAGTCGGACGTGCTGCCAGCGGAGCCTAGCCGCCGCGGGTACGGTGATGCGGTCGCCGCGGGTCGAGCCTCGCCATTTCGCTCAAGAGCCCCACCATTTCGGTGGGAGGTGAGGCGGTTACTCTGCCGTTTGCCTGTTTTGCCCCGTTATGGCCGCGACCAAACGTGGCTCGTCGTCTCTGCCACGGACAGCCTGCTGCAGCAGGCGCTCTGTCTCTCTCGCACTAACGCCGCGCTCCGCGGGCGTGCGAGAGAGACAGAGACACTGCAGGCACTGCAGGGCTGCAAAAGAATAAGCCAGCGGCACTAAGGCGGCTGGGAACGCGCCGCACTTCTACACATCGCGTGCCGTCCTCGGGTTCAAATACCAGCACCACCAGCGGCATTTATATTTTCAAGCGCTTCATCCGTGGTGGTGGCCGCGTTAGTGCTTTGTTCTCCGTTCGCCTTCACTTGGCTCCGGTTTCGGTTATCAGTTTACCGAAGCGACTTCGAGCTGTTCGACGCCTTGCTCCCCTCCCCCTCCTCCTCCCCCTCCTCCGAGCACCGGTCCGGCTATCCGGACCGAGTTGCTGCTGTGACTCGCCCTCGTTCAAGTGAGCAGCGCGGCAGCGCGAGAGAAAGTCCATCGGCGGTGTGCATGTGTGGCGAGCGAGTACGTGCGCCTGTGTGTGTGTGAGTGCGAGTGTGCCACAGCGAGAGATGCAGCAACGGGAGATACCACCGCGACTGCCGTTTGCATGCTCGCCATGCTGGCCGCTGGGATGGACTAGGATGGACTCGTAGCGTCTGCTGTGTCTGGGCCGTCTGGGCAGCCTAGGCCCCGCTCCGATCGCATATCGCCCTCGCTGTGGCGAAACACTGCCGGCGCGTGGTCGGAGCAGGGAGTTTCAGGGCAGGAACACGGTCAGTACGTACGGCCAGCAGGCTGTCTCTCTCGCACCCCCACGAGACGCCCCCCCCCCCTAGCCCCTAGGTAGCCGCCTGAAAGGTAGGCAAAAAGTGCGACTCCCCCCCCCCCCATAAGCCGCCTCTGGATCCGCCACTGTGCTGGACTTCCCTGCCCCGCGGCGCCCTGTCGATGCGTTATCGATGCCGAAAATAAAATGCGGCCGCCGATGACTCCTCGCCTCGCCGCCACTTGGCGCCGTCTGTCCCTAGCACTGTGCCGTCGTCGCGCTGTCTCTCTCGCACTCATGAGGCGTCCCGCCAGGACGTGAGGGCGCGCGAGAGAGACGGCGAACTAGGCCGCCGAGCAACGCGGCGCTGCTCGGCGAAGCGTGGCGCGGCCACAGTCATGAAGGGCCGCGTTTTTGTCCGCGGCTCTCATTACGGACAGTCGCAGCAGTCGCCCCGTCTCTCTCGCACTCGCGGGACCGCGCCCGAGATTCCGCCCGCACTCGCTGCTACTCGCTGCCCGCGGCGCGGCGCGCGGTTCGTTTGGTTTCGACGAGGGCGGACGCCTCGGGCGGCAGAAACAAGGACCAATGGTGGCAATAGGAACAGTGTCCCTGGCGTATGACGGGCCGTGTATAAAGTGTCGCGCGGAGGACACAGGACATCCGGTTGGACTGCGGGCACGGCGGGCGGCGTGGCAGTGTGGCGGGCGGTGTGGCAGTGTGGCGGGCGGTGTGGCAGTGTGGCGGGCGGTGTGGCAGTGTGGCGGGCGGTGTGGCAGTGTGGCGGGCGGTGTGGCAGTGTGGCGGGCGGTGTGGCAGTGTGGCGGGCGGTGTGGCAGTGTGGCGGGCGGTGTGGCAGTGTGGCGGGCCGCGGCCAGCCTGCCAGGTGTCCAGTGCTGCCATTGTGCGAGGTGAACGGCGTATGCGCGTCGCAGTGCGGTGCAGTGCACGGCGAAACTGTATCGCCTCGCGAAAGAACGAAAAGGAAGGACAGAAAAGCAGCAATAAATCAACAATAAATGAGCGGTCTAAGACACTGGAGGCAGGCCAGTCCGGTGCCTCCTTGCAGGAGGGCGGGGCTGCGCCAGGCAGCGTCGCGGCCAATCTCATCACGGGGCAGTAAAGCGCTGTCGCGGTCTCTCTCGCACTCGCGGGCCGGCCGGGAGGGGCGCGAGAGAGACAGGGCGGCGCCCTCGGTGCTCTAGATTCGGAGGGTGAATTACGGTGGGGAAAGGGTAAGGAGGGGCGGCTCCCCGAATCAATCGGCCGGACTGGGGGACGCCGACGCCGTGCTCCGTCACGAGGGCGTCGACCGCCGTCAGCCCGTCGTCATCGGGAACGGGCGGCAGTTCGATTCCGAACGGTGTGCTGTCGCTCTGTCTCTCTCGCACCCCTACGAGGTGCGCCATGAGTGTGAGAGGGACAGGGGAGGGTGATTCCGTGCGTAGGGGGTCATTTTGGATGTACCAAATGTTCTTTTTTAAAGTTCAACTTTAGGGGCTAAATTTGGTGTAGATGGCATACATAGTACCCCACAGTACCCCTCTGAGCGTGGCAGCGCTACAAGTTGACTTTTATTTTCACTCCCTATGAAATACGGCGGAATTTACAGAAATAATGACGGAATTTACAGATTACGGAATTTACAAAGCGAAGTTTTTAGTCTCCTGAACCGCTGGGTTACAAGATAGGTAAAAACTGTTGACGGTGTCATTTTCAGCATCCAAAATAGCATTTTTCAGCGAAGGTTGTGGGAACTTTCTCCCTCAGATGGAGGAGCTACGGCCCGAAACGGAATTTACATCCATTTTTACACCCTTACCGTTTTGAACTCTTCTGACGGCCTGGAAGCGTCGTTTGACCGCCCCAGGTCCCGTGGGCACGGGCTTCTGGAAGTGTTTTTTTATGTTCTTTCGATTCCAAGTGGTCGCGAGTTTCTAAAATGAAAAGGAACCCCAGTAGACCGTCATTTGTAAAAACAGCATAGGTCACATGGTCACACGGTGGACATTTTCCCAAAGGCTGTTTCGGGTTCAACAAGTGATGATACAAAGGTCACCCTCCGTAATTTTGTGAAGAATAAGTCAGGGGAGAGAGTGAAATAGCCAGTTTTCTTTTGATGTGGCTGAGTCATATACTACAGCATGGCAATGTTGTCTTATAGGTGTTGGTGACCATGACGGAACTTACAAAACGACACTTTAGCAGCTTACAAAACCCAGATAAACAAAAGTTAGATTGACTTATCCACATGAGGACATGGTCTTCGTTTAGTAAAACAAATTTGAATTGCCAAAGCCACCAAATCAACCTCAGTTCAGGCGCAAGGCCCCGGTGACCTGAAATGACCCCCTACGCACGGAATCACCCGGGAGGGCTGTTCGGAGTGGAACTGCAGCTCGAGAAGGCGTGGCCGCTGGCGCTGGCGGCGCTGAACCCGTTCGCCGGAAACGTCCCTCGGCCTCTGCGCCGCCTGGCCGTCCGCGCCGCCGTGTCTTCGCCCTCTCCACCGCCTTGTCCAGGACAACGTCCAGGACAACGTCCCGGCCACCTGGATGTTCGCCGCCTGCTTCGCCTTAATTGCACGATCCTCGTCCCCAGCCGCCTCTCGTCGGGAGCAAGCAGCACGGCGTCGTTGCGTAACCGAACCGGCGCCGCGACGCCCTGGCCGCGGCCGTGTACTGCAGCAGGCAGCAGGCGGCAGCTCGGCGGTGACCTTTCGGTTCGGCGCTGCCGTGGAAATGACCCGACCTGGCATTTATGGAAATTCGTGCTCCCTTCCCCCCACCCCTCTCCTCGCCGCCGTCCTCGCCCTGCCCGACGACGTCCAAGTCGAAGCACTCGTACAGAGCAGGGCCAGGCGGCGCGAGCGAGACACTGGTGCACTGTTTGGCCTGGAAAGATTGGAGCGAGCGGAGGGCGTCCGAGTAGAATGGGAGTGTCAATCAGTTGGCGCCCTCCCTGCCGCGCGGCCGATCGTAGGAATCACTCACTGTCCTGTCCTGTCCGGCCGCCGCGACCGACACTCCTCAATCGGGATTCTGGCCCCGAAACTCCGCGTCGAAATCGAGTCGAAATTCGAAATGCCGTGATTTGCCGCGACTGAAGGGCGCGGGAATTTGAACGCGTGAGGCGATGGTGCGTCGGATGTCCCTTTTGGCCGTGTTTTTTGGGCACTCAAAGCGACGGCGAAGAAGCCGTCCGGATGCAGACGCCTTCCGAAAGACGTGTTCGTCGCACCGTCTCTGCCGCACCTGTAGGGGACGTCCCGTGAGTGCGAGAGAGACAGCGCGACGACAACGCCTCCCGGGATCGGAGTGCAGGTTCCGGCCCCGCCCGGGAGTTGGCATCGCGGGTCCGTCCTGCCCGCCGCCGTGACGTCACTGGCTGGCCGTTGTGCCGTTCTGCCATTCAGCGCGACGGGACTGCCAGGCGTATCGGCTCGGCCGAAGGGTCGCCGATAACAAATAGAATAATTATTCTTGTGGGCCGTTTTCGCGCACCAAGTTGAGCAACCGACGGCAGCGCTCAAAACCGACAGAAGTAAACGAACGGTTCTGCTTGTGGCTTTTGTTGTTGGTAGTGCAAGCGAGCAAGCAAGCAAGCGAGCGAGAGAGACAGCGCGACGACAACGCCTCCCGGGATCGGAGTGCAGGTTCCGGCCCCGCCCGGGAGTTGGCATCGCGGGTCCGTCCTGCCCGCCGCCGTGACGTCACTGGCTGGCCGTTGTGCCGTTCTGCCATTCAGCGCGACGGGACTGCCAGGCGTATCGGCTCGGCCGAAGGGTCGCCGATAACAAATAGAATAATTATTCTTGTGGGCCGTTTTCGCGCACCAAGTTGGGCAACCGACGGCAGCGCTCAAAACCGACAGAAATAAACGAACGGTTCTGCTTGTGGCTTTTGTTGTTGGTAGTGCAAGCGAGCAAGCAAGCGAGCGAGCGGCAGCCAATGAATAATGAAGAGCGAGTCGAGTTGCGGCAATGGGTCGCGGCGCGCGTGCCGTGCCAGTTCTATCCCT